CGAAATAATGCTAAATTATGTACAATGTAACAAATGACTATCGATTTTTGTAACTTAAGCCGAATTTTGCCAAATCATATGACTGAATCGGCTGAATGTTAACTGAATGGTATTAGTGCCGAATGAAATGATTTTGACTAGTGTATGTTATTAATAATGGTGATGGTGGTAATGGTATTGTTGTTATTGTTATTGTTATTATTGTTATTATTATTATCGTCATCATTAATTACAATTATATCTGAAGATGGTGGACTAGTCTTTCTTTTAATTCTACATTATCTTCCTAAAAATTTATTATAATTGAATAACTTTTGCATAAATACTTCTTTATATTAAACAAAAAAATTTGAAATTATAATTAAACAAATTTTTTACTTTCTCAGGTATTCTTTTGTTCTTGAATCTTTACGGTTCTTCATTGTTCATGATCATGAATATCGTTTAAATAGTATTAAAATACAAATAAAATTAATATTTAAGCATAAACCTAAATAGAAATATAAATATATAGTAATCAAAATATAAATTTAACTAAAATTATTCTTATTACCTAGCAAATTCCAGAAGCGTGTAGTATTAAACTCATCAAAATATTTTCTGCCAACTTGACTTTGCTTACCTCTGGAATTGTTTTCTTGTTTTAATCACATATCTTAAGAAAGAGAGAAAAAAGAGAGAAAAAAAATAAGTTATTAAACCTACTTATATAAAATACATGTTTTTTTTGATTATTATTTTGCTTACATTATATTGAACTGAATTTATGTTGGCATTGAAGTTCTATAGGTATCATTTACATTTCTTGTAAAGTTTCGCCAAAATTCTTTTTGCGAGATTCTTTCTATATCATGATACTCCTAAAAAAATATTATATATAATTCATCTTAACAATTTAAAAAGCAATTTATACTTATTTATAAATTAAATAAATAAATAAAATATTTACTTGATTGTGATTTTTTCGCTCATTAATAAGTGCACATATCAAATTATTTGATTATTGAAAACGAGCAGCAGCAGTGATATTTGAAGAATTTGTTAAAGACATTTTTATAATTAAAATTTTTGATTTAATTTAGTATAAAAAGAAAAAAAGAAAAAACCTTACTTATATGGGAGGCGGTCAGTAGAAAAGGAGGAAATCCAAAATTTTTGTTAATTTTAATTATTAAGCTAATTTTATGCACATGACCAAGATTAGTCAAGCGGTTTAATAATATAAATTTTGACCAAAATTTGGATTTCCCTTTTCTACTGACCGCTTCCCATATATTTCAATTATATAACACATATGAATATTCAAACAATTGAATGATTCATTCAAACTTTTACTTTGTAAAAAGCTTTTACTTGAAATAACTAATATGTCAACATTTTGTATGAAATTTATATTATTCATTAAAATTTATTTTATGACATAAATTTTCTAATACATCACGTGAATTTCTGTTATATCAGCATTTTTTATAACAACTTTTTACTAATTATTGAATTATTACAAAATTTTTAATTTATATGAAACGAATGCTAAGGATTCTTTCGCAAAAAATATTCTATTGTTCGTCATTGTTCCGTCTGGTAAGTATTGTAACGTTGAATGTTACACCTAAAATTTTGAAGTTTCTAACCAACTTTATCTTGTTTGGTCTTGTAGATCCTAACGAGCGAAAAAAGACTCATGGACGAAAAGTTGATGAATTTTTGGCGGTTGTTAAAGGAAACAAAACTTGATAATGATGCAAAGTTCCTCCCATTGTTTGAGAATATCCATTTTTTGAGAGAAGAAAACCAACCATCTATTATATACATACGCGAATGTTATCGTGACTTAAAAAATACCATATTTGATGAAGACATACGAAAATTGCACACCACTGGAAATCTGGGGATCGGCAAAACCTTCTTCGGCTATTATCTATTGTACTGGCTTGCACAAAATAACAAAACGGTTCTATATCACAAAGTAAACCATTCTCCGATTTTATTCAGTGAGGAGAAAATTTTCCGCAATACCACAGATAATATCTACGACTTCAATGAATTTGATGCCAACTTTGTTCACCCAATAAGGATTACTTTAAAACTTTTGTGAAACAACAACAAGATAAGATTTATCATAATAAATTTAATAAAGAGGATACTATGATATTGTTTTCAAGGTGGGGAGGAATTCCTCGATTTGTTTTGGAGAAAGCTTATGACAAAACTCAAAAGCTGTACTTAATAACACGATATTAAAATGCCAAGTGGATATACTTTCATTTGTCGGTATAAGCACATAACAAGATAGCATAATTCGGAAAAACTTGTTAGATTCGCGTCTGATTATGTGAGAGACAAAGTGATTGAACGAATTGAAAGTAGCTATCAAAGAACAACTATATACTACAGCAAAGTTAAACATTGATAGCAACTCACCTCTAAGTATCACATTTGAACATATTTGTCACCGGAGAGTGGAGATTTCTGTGTTCGTAGTTTAAAAACTAAGAGTGAGTCAATCATTACAATAAGCAAGCAGGATAAAATACTTATGTTTACTGAAAATGAAATTGACTCGATTGAAAATGGACTATATTATCAACCAAGAAGTAAACTTTCCCAACTTTTGATGCAATTATATCAATAGGAATCATGGTATCAAAATGAACGGGTTGAAAAAATTGCATAATAAATTAGGTGGAACAGATGAAATATCATTCTATTTTGCTGCATCTATGAAAGTTACACAAACAGAATTTTCTTAATTCTAAAAACGTTAGTAAATGGTTGGATAACAAACAGAGTTCATCAATATGCTTTGAAAATCGAATTTTAAACAGATGTACAATGCATGCTAAATAAACTTGCGTCGATCTATATCTATTTTTTTTAAAACCGTACGATTTTTTTTTAAACCTGTGATATTACAATTTCCGTATTTGAGAAGCAAATGAAATTTAACCATATGATTCGTTTGTTTTACTCCACAAACATAAATAAAAAGCCTTAGAAGAAATAATGAAATATAAATCACAAAATCGGCCTTTTTCCTTCAAAAATTTTTGGTGCTTTTTTTTGTGATGTCAAAAAAAAATCGAGTAAATGTCATCGGTGCTGGAGTTGTGGGGTTATCGACTGGTTTAGTTCTTCAAAAGAATGGATATAAAGTAAAAATTATTGCTGAACATTGGCCTGGTGATTTAAGTATTAATTATACAAGCCCGTGTGCTGGTGCCTATTTTAGTTCAAATTTTCTTTTTGACGAGCGTTGCAAAAGTAAGTCGATCAAATCATTATTGTTATCTTTATATATAATTAACTTCCTTAATACTTATTAGAATTCCAAGACATTTCATACAAAACCCTATGGGAATTATCATATATAAATGATACCGGTGTCATACGTATTCCAAACTTTGATTTTTACGCAAAAGATCCTCATATTGATTCCGAAACATTGCTCAAGGATATATATTATAAGGTAATTTCACTTAGTGGAATATTGACTTTATTTTTCAATTAATTGAAAGTATTTTCATGATTTCAGTTTCAAGTTTTGCCAAAACACGAACTCCCCAAAAACGTAGAATATGGTGTTTCTTTTACAACTGGTAAATATTATTCTAACTTTTTTTATGGTCACTTGTCCTAATGTTCCGATCTTTCTAGTTACAATAGATGTTCCAAAATATTTACGATGGCTACTGAATCAATTCACAAGTGCTGGTGGCGTAACTCAAAAGGCTCACCTTAATCATCTCAATGATGCATTTGAACCTGATGTAAATTTTGTTATAAATTGTACGGGCATCAATGCACGAACTTTTTGTGGTGTAGAAGATGATAAAGTATTCCCAACTAGAGGGCAGATTGTGATCGTTTGGGCACCACATATTAAATTCGCAAAGTCACTTCACGAAGGTAAATTAAAAACAATAAGTTTACGTTGATTTCAAGCGAGTTAATATTTCTTTATCACACAGAGGAAGGTGCATATACTTATATAATCCCTCGAAAAAGTGGTGAAGTGATTCTAGGAGGAACTATGGATGTCAACAATTAGTAAGTAACTTAATTTATAACTTTTCATTCGTAATTTTTTATTTATATTTTTATTTTAAATAGCGACGGAACACCGGACTCAAAAACTGCAGAATCGATCCTTAATCGCTGCATTAAACTTTGTCCGGAATTATCCGGTGTAAAAATATTGAGACATGTCGTTGGGTTACGTCCATCAAGAAAAGATGGAATTCGACTTGAAACTGAAATAAGGCAAAATTCTGTTGGTAAAGACGTTATGGTTTGTCATAATTATGGTCATCATGCTTACGGATATATAACAAGTTGGGGTTCAGCAATAGAAGCATTAGATCTTATTGAATCTTCTGTATCTAACCAAAAGGAAGCTAGATTATAAACTTTTTATTAATTTATTTCTAATAATTTATTCAATTTTGTTAAATTATAGTTTTCTATTTCATATGATTATCAAATTTGTAAGAACATTTAATTATTAAAAATAAAAGGATTCAGTTAATTTTCCATTTTTTTATTATTAAACACAACAAAAATTAAAAAATATTGTAAATATTGGAATTGTTTTTAAAAAAGAAGTTTTTGCATTTAATTGATATAATTAATATGTATAAAGTAAAAATATTATTATAATAAATTATATAACTTAAATATAATCATCAAATTAAATAGAATTAGTATAATTTTAAGATTTTTTTATTAAACAATTGATATTTAAAGATTATTATTAATTTTATTTATTAAAAAAAATTTTTTTAAGTATAAATTTGAATAATACAGTCGGACCTTTCTAAATGCACCCTCTATATATGCATACCCCCTTTAAATGCATGTTCTGGTCCGGTTTCAAGCTTAGGACTTAAATACTAAATGCATCCTGCATGTGCAAAGAATTTTCTGGTGACACATTCATTCTCTAAATATATGTCATGTGATTATATTTGACGAATGATTCAACAAAATGACCGACCATTGTAAATTTATTATCATTTTAAGGGTATTAGCTTTATGTGTAAATAATATAAATATGTCTTAAATTAAAATAAAAGATACTGTACTTAATATGTAATTGTAAATATTGATTAATAATATTTTGATACTGGCATTACAGATACTGGATATTAAATATTGTAATATATAAACATAATGTTATAACTATTTGCAGATACTTGGATACTTTGCGGATATTAGACACCACTTGCGAATATGAATAACTTGCAGATATTAGACACCACTTGCGAATACGAATACCTTGCGGATATTAGATGTTACTTACGGATATAAATACATTGCAGATATTAGATGTCACTTGCGGATACAGATGCCTTGCAGATATTAGACATTTCAGATATTGGATGATTTGTGAATCTTATACATTTTATATATAAATATACAAGTACAATTGCTTTCTTTACCATTATAAACATGCCTCCTAAAAAACTCTCTAACTGATACCCAAAAATACTAATTTTGGTCTTTATGCTTATGATAATAAAGAACACAAGCTCAGTATGTAAATGAATCGAAGAAAAATGGGAAATTAGATTTAACAAATCTATTATTATAAGAATTTTATAAAGTAAAGACAAATGACTTACCACTAAAATTACTAATCTAGAAGCAAAACAACATCAATCTATTACTGTTTCAGAACTTGAGCTAGCATTTAAAGAATTTGTGTTACATTATCAGCATTGAACTACAGTGAACTCTTAATATAACGAATTCTAGAATCTGGATATCAACTTTATTATAAGCTTATAATAAATTTTTTAAAGAATTTAATTGGCTAGTTTATTATAGTAAGGTAATTTTAATATATTTGATTTAAAAATTTGTTATATCAAGAGTTTGATATATCAAGGTATGATTGTATATTGAGTGATACAATGTTAATTGAAAAGGCTAAACTATTTGCTAATGAATTAGAGGTTCCAGAAAATACATTACAATTTTCCTCCAGTTGGCTTCAAAAATTTAAAAATTATAATAGAATTCATCAGGAAAAACTTCTTGATGAAGCTGACTCTGCTGATAATACTAATATTTTTAAAAGCCTACATTATTACGTGAAAAATACAAATTATTCTCTTAAGAGAATATATAATATAAATGAGACCAGATTCTTTTACCGATTAGAATCAGATCGAACATTAGCTATAAAACATTTTTCTGAACGTAAAAAATAAAAAATGTATTACTATTACGTTATGTGCAAATGTCAATGGATCACATAGATTGAAACCTTAGATTATTGAAAAATATGTAAACTTATGATGTTTCAAAAATATTAATATTTCAAACCTGTCAATAATTTATCAACATAATATCAAAGCATGAATTAGAGTTCTGAATCAGGTCAGGTCAACCTGTGACCTGACTTGACCTGATCTGAAAAATCCAGGTCAAGTAGACAAATTTTCAGGTTAACATCAGATCGGGTCAAAGCTTATGACCCGATCTGATAAAATTCAGGTCAACCAATCAAATTAAATGAAATAAAATATTTAAAAAAATTTTTTTTTTGTCTATTTTTTTTTTAAAACATCTTTAATTTAAAAAAAACATCTTTAATTTTAAAAAATTAACAAAAATGCCAATAACTAGACAAACGAAAAATAGAAACGCTAATAAAAACTCTCAAACTCTTTCGAATAATAAA